AGGTTATAGTTGTATCCAATTATAGTTTTTTTGTTGTTGTCAATCTCCAATGAATTATTCTGTGTTTATTAATAAAACAAGCTTGTTAACTTGATTATACTCGATTTAGAGAATGGTGTCTACTCATTCTATGATTAATTAAGGATATGTGTACGTAAATATGTTAGAATATATGAACATATGTAATAATCAAGAAAAATAATTATATTTAAGTTGACTGACTGTGAAAGTCAACTATTTAGCGCACAAAGAGAAACATATGCACCACCAACCTTCATGATTTCACTGTTGGGTAGCTCAAGGCGTGATGACAAATAATTACAAGTTCATGTATTCTTTTTTTTTTAATATTCATTTAACTATGCTATATTTATATATTAAAGTAAAAATTAAAATGGAAATGTAGGATAATGATTGCATACTGGTTTATATGTCCTCTTCGGATCAATGATATCAATTATGGCACTAATTATAAGATAAATAAAGATATGAAAGTTGAATTTAGGGTAATTGTGGAACTTGGAACCACTATCTGGTACTTTAAGATAATAATGATAGATCTGTAGATTTTATCTAGTCTAAGAGGATGAAGAAGAAGAAATGTATCTACTAATCTACGTGTGTATACTTATAGGTTTTTATTTTATTTTTGATAGTTAAGGGGTGATCTGAGCTTTTATAGTTACTTATAGTTCTATAGATTCAATAATTAGTTTTGTTGGTTTTCAATTATTCAATTCTTATTTCATATATAATAAAAGAGATGTAATGATATAATTTTAAGAATGCTATTGATTTAGTTCGACTATATTTAATATTTTTTTATGTTTCTAACATTATATCTACAATTTTTCGAAATTGATTCATATTTTTTTTTATAAAACTTTCTAATAAAAATAAATAAATAAGTAATAGAAAAACTATATTCAAATTTTATATTTATAATATTTCTAAATTTTGTTAGCAAATTATAGTTATAAATATTATGTAAAATCAACATGATCGGATTTATTGTCTGAATATTAGTATGTACTTTGTTAATTTAAGTTTAAGATGGAAAATAAATGCTCTAACCAACCATATTTTTGGTTGATTAACTCTGTAAAATTGTAAAACTAGCGGGCTTGCTCTCTCAAAACAGCCGACGCATCGAGCCCCGAGCCAGAAAATCTCTTCACGGCCGGTGTTGGCCCTGGTCTCCAGCACCGGCTCGGCAATGATGACCAAGAAAATGCTACCTCCTCTGAAGCCTTTTCTTCTTGTGTTGTCTCTTCCGTTTCTGTTCGAGAGGTA